GAGAAGAAGAAGCAAAGATTTTGGCTGACCAAATGAAAGAATGGAGTTGCTATCAACCAAGTTGTAGAACGCTCTGACTAGAGAAGATTTGGAGAGAAGATCAGGAGCCTAATTGGGGCGTGTCGAGTTTGCAATATCTTTTAGGCATCTAAATGCAAATGCTGAAGAGGTAATTGGGTAAACAAGTCTGAAGTTAGCTAGAAAAGTATAAGCTAAAGAGACATATTTGGGAGTTACCAGCACATAGATGGTATTTACAGCCGTGGGACTACATGAGATCACAAAAGGGAGGAGTAGAGATAGAAAGGAGAAGAGGATAAAGACTGAGCCTTGGAGCCCTCCCACATTTAGAGACTGAGGGAGAAGAGGAATTACCAGTAAAACTGGCTGTCAGGGAGTAACCAGTGAAGTAGGGGAAAACCCAGGAGCATGGTGTATGACAAACCAAAAGGAGAAAGTGAATTGAGAAGGAAAGCACACAGCTGGGTCAAATGCTGTTGAGAGCTCAAGGTGAGGGTAGAGAATTGTCCACTGCGTATAGCAGAGTGGAGGTCATGGGTGACCCTGACAAGAGCAGCTACGGCAAAGTGGTGAGAGTGGAAGCCTGGTTGGTGAGGGTTAGAGCATGGGAGAAGGGTAATAGTTGAAAACAGCAAGTATAGATAGATGACTGTCACAAATTTTGCTGCAAAGGGAATAAAAAATGGGTGGCGGCCAGCAGAGGAAGTGAAGTCAAGGGTTTTTTGTTTATTTGCTTTCTTTTTAAATGGGGCACATAGCAATTTTGTATGTTTGTAAAAAATATTAAGTTTCGTATTCAGGGAATAAGAAATTAGTGTTATAGGTAAGAGAGGAGCTTTCTGGAGCAATATCTTTGAGTAGATGAAAGTGGATTAGAGACACACATAAGGGGTCTGGCTTTAGGTGGGAGCAGGGACAGCTCACTGTGGTAATAGGAGAGCAGACTGCTGGGAACAGAAGCCGGAAGGTAGGGGAATGTGTCAGAAGTCTAAAAATTTTGTTTTGATTTCTTCCACTTCTCAAAGAAGTAGAGAGCAGGGGCATCTTCCTAGAGAGAGGACAGGGGAGGACGTATGGGGCTTGAAGACAAAGGAGAATGTGGGGGAAATGCAGCTAAGGGAGTGTGGGGACCTGGAACCATTGAAGCCACACTCAAGTCCTTGATCATGAGTTGCAGTTAGAGTGGTACCTGTGGCTGAGTGCTTTTCTTCAGCCATCTACAGCTGGTCAGGTGCAAGTGTGAGTAGGCAGAAAGTCAGCTCTCACCAAGGTTTAGGTTTTTGCCAAGAAAGCATGAGAAGAGAAAAGGGCGGGGAGCCAGGAAACAGGCTCAGGCATGACTGCAGGCAATGGTTAAGCTGGGGTGTAAACCAGGTAAGGATGAAGCACGTGCCCTTAATTTGAAACAGGGAGGCCCGACCTGTCCCTAGCACCCTCCCACTGTGTGGAGTCTTCTCAGATTTGAAGTGAGTCTTTCCCAGCTTCCCAGCTCAACATACCACCAAGTCTCCATTCTCAGCTCATCGGAACCCTCCTACTGAAGCTGTATGGACTGTTCTGCCCAAGCAGCAGATCGTCTCTGGGAAGCACGTCCACGCACAAGTCCCGACCGTGATGGTGGACACTTTAGCCACTGGAACGAGGTGGAGTTGTCAGAGCCTTTGAAGTGACGCAGATGTTCCAACTTATTAGAATGACTGACCCATCTAAAATGTAAGCTGGGAAGAAGACAAAGTGAACACGGGGTAAGGAAAGCGACAGGGCTGTGGGAGAGGTGGAAAAACAGGAAGAGGCCATGGCGGCAAGGGGCAGTGGGAGACCCAGAGAGGCCTGGGCTGGCTTGGGACCCTCCACAGACTGGGCTGGAGCCTTGGCCTCCTGCTGTCCTCTTCAGTGTTAAGAGTCTGTCACTAATCACACGTGTCTCAAAGTGGCCTTCGTCTTGGAGCAGACTCAGGGACCAGATGGCACCATCACTGCAAATGAGTGCATGGATGGAGCCTCTTCCCTCCTGGTTGCTGGCCCTCCACCTCTCGCACAGGTGCAGCCAGCCTGAGAACTCAACCCCGACACCTTCTTACCTCTCCCAAAACCCAGTTAATCACAGATTAGAATTGGCTAGTTCTTTCTTTCTCAAGCTGTCCCAGCCCTCAGTTTGTTATAGCTGTCTGCTGGAATGCCAGTTGCACAAATACATATGTTAGGGCCTTTGATCTCTGAGCACAATGACATAGATTTATAAAATGTTTGCCTCTTTCTGCCTCTTTGAAAGGCTGATTTATAGGATGCAGCCTTTGCCTCCCCTCCTTTCTTGAAATATGAAGTGTTTGTGAATGACCAAGGTAATATTTAATATCCTGCCAACGAGCCTTTTGCACTTGCTAACAAATGAACTACATCCCCGCCAAATGGTCCACATCTGTTTGAGCTCCTCTTTTTGACTAAACAAATTAGCATTAAAATACAGACAATGCCAAGTGTCCATCTCTAGATGAGGAAGCAGGGACAATTCTGAAGAAGAAGACCACTTCCTCGGGGGTGGGAGCACTGCTTGTGGCAGATGAGTTCCTCTTTCCGGGTGTCTGGGGATGAGTAGGCTGGTGGCCCAGGAGCACCAAGACCCCTGGCAGGCAGGAGGATACTTAGCCCTCCACTTCCTGCAGAAACTCAGGGTTGGGAGTGACTGTGAACAATGGACTTGACTGGCTTGTTTCTGGCTCTTCAATCCAGAAGAAAGTGGAAGTGTCTTCCATGAAACATTTTATTTTGCAAAGAAGACTGCTAAAGTTTAAAGGTGCTGGTTCAAGGGCTCTTGATGGGGACTTGCTTTAGCTCTGGGGGTAGATCTGCCTTCTCTATAGAGGTGCTGGCTTGGGAAATCCCAGGAGGTATGGCTGATTCAGTGTAAAGAGCAGGTAGTGAAAAGCCCTGGGTTTGCATCTTGTTAATGGCCTTTTAATAAACTGCCCTTAATCTAGGCCTGCATATAAATGTGGTATTTCTTTACAATGAGTTGGGGACCACAGGTGTAATATGGTAAGAACAACTCTGCCAGGGGCAAAATCTCTGGCTTGCCGTCTGGGTTGTGGGTGGGAGGGTCTGTGGGTCTACATAGCAGTTGGTCTTTGCCTTTGTTGGGACCCTTCCCCAAGGCCTGGGGGTTCTCTCCAGGGGCTCCAGCTGTGGGCCCACTTCTTCAGAGCCCTCACACCAAAGCCTCTCTGAGGACCAAACTAGAAGGTATTTCCTCTTTCTCTACCCACTCCCTATCACGTTCCCCAACCCTTCGTCATGGGAAGGGATGACTGCCTCTTGTACAGGGGCTCTGATCGATTTGAATCCGGAATGGGTGCAAACTCTAAGTCAGGACATGTACGGCCAGCATCTCAACTCCAAGACTTTTTTTCTTACTAGGTTGGAATAAGAAGTTGTCTCCTGGCCACCCAATTCCCCACCCCAGAGGCAACCACAATTGCCAGGATTTTTTTCTTTTTTTTTTACATTTTCTTCTAGAAATATTTTAAGCGTAAGGACGAGGATGATTGAGTGTTTTGTTCACTGCTGCATCCCAGCACCTGGCACATCACCTGGCATGAGGTAGTCAATAAATATTTGTAAATAAAAAAATGAGTAATTGTTTAGGAGGCGTCCACATCATAAGGGGAGTGAGCTTGCCAAGAATGGTGCCAACCAGTGGAGAGAACGACCTGCCTCCTGGACTGAACTATACCTGAAGCCATACTTCCCAACTTTTCAACTACATGAACCAATACATTTCTTCTCTTGTTTAAGCCTGTGTCAGCTGAGTTTTCTGTCACTTGCAATGATCAGTCCAAACTGATATAGGAGGGTTGGTTAATGGTTAAGTAATGAGGATACACTGTGCTATGAGATTAGCTGTGAATTTTTCTCCAATCCTCTTATTCCAACCTAGTTAGAAAGAAAGTCTTGGAATTGAGATGCTGGCCCTATGTGGCCAATGAAGCTTTTTCTCCAGTGCCAGGCAGTGGGGATACTCCAGGTAGAGGCTTGAGTTGTCAATGGTCTGTATGTTTTGGCAGAGACAGAATTATGTGTACATGAATAGGTAGGAGCAGACTGAGGCAGCATGGGTCTTCAACAGAAAGTGAGACCAGCAGCCAAGCCATCAGTGACCACAGGCAAAGGAACAAAAAGGGGACATGACCAATGGAAGAGGACTCACTTCAGTGAACGGCACCACCTTGTCTCCCAACCCCGGACCCTGGAATATCCCAGGATCTCCTTTCTATCAATCACCCTCACCAGGTCCATGGATTTCCCTTTGCTCCTCTTCTCTTCCCCTCCCTCATCTGCCTAGATTCAGATCCGCTATCATTTAGCCATTTCCAGTTCTCTCAATCTACCTTCCACTCTATGGCCCGAATTTTCTTTCTAAAACACAAACCTAGTCATGCTACCTTCTTGTTTTATTCTTCAGTGCTCCCCATTGCCCTAAATTCAGGCTACTTACTTAGGCACATATGAAGTCAGCCGTGTCTGGTCCCTCGGCTTCTCTCTTCAAGCTCATCCTCCGTCTTTCCCTTGCTCCCACACTCAAGCCATGCAGAACTGTTTACGCTCTCCACACACTCCATGCAACTTCGCACAGAAACTTTGCCTACCTTGGTCTCTGTCTAGAATGCCTTCTCCTCTCTCTTCCCTTCCCATCATATTTGGCCTGATGACCAATGATCCATACTGAATTCTTTCCTTTGAACACAGAAACACAGTTAAGGTGATGCATAGACACTAGACTGTCCTGTAAAGAAAAGAGAGTGTGAGTGGGGCATGGGAGAGGTATGGGCTGGGTTGAATATTCATTATGGCTCAGATCCCCTTAGTAGATAGTGAGGGCCTACAGCTAGACTAGCCCTGCAACAGGCATGCAGCCCTGAAGAGAGGACCTGGAGTCAACTCAAGAGACCCAAGAACCAGGACTATGGAGAAGCAGATGTTGAGAAGGTACCTGGCAAGGTGACCAAAGACAACCCTCAGGCACGCAGTGGGGCTGGAGAGAGTGAAGACACGAGCCACGGTCCCTGGGTAAGAGACTGGAGTGCTTCTTCTACCCTTAGGAACTCCTTCATTGCTGCACTTTTTATCTGAAAAATCTCAGAGAGTTAATTCCTAGGGGTCAGGGACACATCTTGGTTCATCTCTATCTCTGGTATAATTATTTGCTCAGCAGTTAATAGAATAAATGGCTGTTGAGTTAACCCACACCACAGAGAAGAAAGTGCCTTACCTCTCACTGACACTTTATTTTGGTTTTGTGCTGTCTGTTTGTTGAAGCTGGGAGGGGGTAAGACCTTAATTGTGTAGGTTTTGCTGATGTTCTCCCTGACTGTTTGTCTTTGTCACCTTGCTCGCCTTAGATGTTGGGGTGGGGAGGGGTTACTCAACCAAATACTTTGCTTTGCCTCCTCTGAAGTTTCCTGTGTCATCCTTTCCTTCCATTCCTCCTCCAGACAGTCTCCAGCTCTTACTTACTTTGCTTTAGTGAGAGGAGCCATTAGCCAAGAGCAGTTTCAGGGCATGTCCCAGCCTGCAGCGCCTCCTGGCTACTGTTTGGGGAGGACAGACTGGCTTTACCAAGACTCTAGTACTCCATCTTCACCCACCCAATGTGGTCAACCTACCTTCTTGAATTTCTCCTAACTTGGGGCCACCAATCTCTTGGCTTCCACTTCCTAAGCAGTTCCCAACATTATAAACCAGGTTGGGGATTCATTAATTTAAGTTGACTGTGATGCAGGCTAGCTCTTAAACTCCAGAGGTAACAGCTGAGCTCCATGTGCTGGGAATGAGTCCAAACAATGACTATAGTGGAAGAGGATTAGGGAAAAAGATGGAGGGGTCGGGCGGTTTTTGAGAGAAGAGAGAGAGAGAGATGATGGTGAGGAAGCCGGCTTGACTAAGTACTCTTAACTGCTAGGTAGTTGAGCCAAGATAGCCCTGAAGATAGAGAAAATTTACCGCCATTTGGGAAACAAAACCTGAGTAAAATTAAAAAGACATGATAGTAACTAATCTTGTTGCAATGCTGACCATTTTCTTCACAAAATAGGTTGAGTGCTGTATCCACCTTGGATTCAGTCACATGGGTGTGCACCAATCGCCCTCACCCTCAAGTGCTGGTCTGTGAGTCCAGCAGAGATAACTATTCCAATTCCTGTCACCTTCACCTCCGGCCAGTCCCCTAAAGCCACTCATTCATTTGTTCCATGACTGATGGAACATCTACCACATGGTCACTTACTGAATGCCTTCTGTTGTAGGTGCCTTGGATACAGCAGTGAGTAACAGACATTTCTGACTTATTGAGTTTAGAGTCTAATGGAGGTGGTAGGGAAGCAGGGAAACAATCAGTAAACAGGTGAGTAAAACTGCAGGTGGCATATTGATGGGTGCTAGAGCAGAAAACAGCAGGAACAGTGGTAGGTAGGGTGATGGTTTGTAGTTAGAGAAGGCTAATTCTAGAAGCAGGTCAAATCTGTGGGTTGGAGACCTGGAAGCACCTGGTTGGTGCAGTCCCGAACAAGTATTATACCAGCAACAGAGTAAGAATGGTTTAAAAACCATTTTTTCTCCTGTAGCTATACTTTATAAATACCTTTCCAAATCATTTCATTCTTGATTCTGGGCTAACAGACCCTGTCCCTCTGACCACAAGGACCTCATATAACCCAGATAAGGTTATTTATTTAAAAAGTATTTATTGAGCACCTACTCTGTGCCAAACATTGTTCTAGATACTGAGGATAAAGTGATGCAAAGATGAAGTCCTTGCCTTCATGGAGCTTATATTCTATGGAGGAGAAAGATAATAAATAGGTAATGAAATAAACAAATGGATAGATATAGAATGTCTAATAGTGTCATTTTAGTGATATTAGGAGGGGAAGGAATCCTTGAGATGGGAAAGGAAATCCAGACAGAGGGAACAAGAGGCAGGAATGGCCCAAGGCGGGTATATTTCAGTATCTGAGGAAAAGTGAGACCTGTGGGCAGGATGATAGGGAGGGAAGGCAAGAAAGTAGTTCTAAGATCAGTTCAGGGGGTGGGGCCAGGGTATGTGGGGCGAATGTAAAGACTGCACTGTATTTGTGGTGTGAAGGGAAGCCCTTGAGGGGTGGGGAACAGGAGAATGTCATGGTCTGCCTGGTACCTTAGGATCACACAGGCTGCTGTGTGAAAAACAGACGGGGTAGAGCAAAAGTTGGAGAAAGATAAATTAGGAGACTTGTAGGCATATGGGAGATGGGTGGTTAAACCAAGCTGGTGGCAGTAGAGGAGGTGAGCAATGGTCAGATGGGGATACATTTTCAGAGAGTTCAACTTGGTGGCCTCAATGATAGATCACAGAGTAGCAACCAGGCCAGGCCAATCAGAATGCAAGCTCAAGGTGGTTGGATGCTTTCGGCTGCCTTGTTTCTCAGAGGATGTGTGAGGTGCAACTGAGTGATGGAATCTGAATTAGGAGTGTCAGAGGTTCTTTGATCCAGAACATCTCTTTATATCTTATATTTGATTAAGAAATTACGGCCAAAAGATGCTGGAAATTATAATCTGTCCAGCATGAGGTCAATTAAATTTGCGTTTCCAACAAAGCAGTAAGTATATTGTTCCTGTTTAACTTCTATTCTAGGCAGATTAGTAGATATAAATGTATTTTAAAAGTTTGGCAGCTGATGGGTAAAGACCAAAGACAGCATGCCAAATGTCCAAGCTGATTGCTGGACCATTTGTTTTCCACTTGCTTTTATTAGTTGCCTGGTTGGTTGACACCACTGATCCTACTAGACAGGTAAAGAAAATGCCACTAACGGATAAGGAACTTTGCGGGTGATCACTAGCTGGCTTCTAATTCCAGAGAAAGAGCCAATGCAACATCCTGACCCAGTTCTTCATTCAAGTCAGCTGAGGTATTCTCTTGGATTTGCGAATGTCATTAGAAGGGTCAAATGGGCATTTTCCAAAGGCCTTTGTCCCCTGAGTTCCTTCTGTAGTGAGTTACAAGTGTCCTATCACTTGGAGTGTGTCAGGAAGCAGGTGGGATGGGAAGTGTCTAAGGATGAAGACTCTTGCTCCAGCTGAACTCAGAGGAGAATGTCTCCCATAACACGAGTCAGCAAGCAGAAGCTTTGCTCTGTTCCTGGGACTGCCACTGGGCAGCATGCTGAGTTCCAGCTGTTTCTGTAGCAAAGCAAATAGGAAGTGAGGATGATGAGCAGGATGGACAGTAGAGAAAAGAATAAGCTATCAGAGGAAAATTCCATCCTGTACATACTCAGAACAAAGCATAGCTGCCAAGTTTTGCTTTTTTTTCCTCTAGCATGAGAGTGTGGGGTACTCAAAGCATCTTTTAAGTGCCGTGAAGAGGGTGTTCCCAGTGGGCAAGACAGACTCCATTTTTATGTTTGAGAAAAACTGATCCTGGGAATAGGAGTGGCATGTCCATCACAAAGACGAACCTGCAGTGAAATTTAGTTTTGTTCTTAACTGATACAGTTTTTTCCTAAATAAAAGGAATTCGGTACAGTTTTCCCGCATCAGAAGAGTATTGTTAAGAATTGTGTTTTAAAAAAAGCTAATTAAGGGATTAGACATGTCTCTTTGCCTTTTCATTAGTTGGTTGAATTACAGAATAATCAAACTCCAAGTCCTGTTTCAAATCTTGAGCCCCTTCTCCTCTGTGTGTGGCCTCTACCCCTCCAGGCCTAGTCTTGCACTCACAGCTGAGGCCTGAAGGACCCGAGTACAGACTCTGGAGGTTAGGTCCAGACAGCATTTCCCAGACCGCATTCCTGACTGCTAATTACACATGAGGCATGGAGGCTGGGAGGTGTGACACAGGGGAAAGGGTTCTGGCTTAGTAGGTTTGGGAAACACCAGGGTAAACACACTTAGATTTTGTAGTTTCAACTGTGAGTCTTTCTGAAGCCCTACTATGTGCGTGTACCTAGTGACTCCCCAGGAGAGCTGCAGAAGGCAGTATCTCCCAAAGATACTTGATGAAAGAGTCATTGGAGGACACATGCTTCACCCATCCTGATGGGCACAGAGTCCTTAATGAAAGGTGGTCAAGGTAAGAGTCTCTGGGTAGGTGTGGAAATGAAGTCTCAGGATGACTGAGCAACCATCCTCATGGGCTGTTGGGATCACGGGATTGTGAATTCCATGTTCTACTCTGGGACATATGGGACAGGGTGTCCTCAGAGGTGTGAAGCGTAGTGAGAAGTCAGTGAGGTGGCTTCACATCAAAATTTCTTGGCAGGAAAACTGGAGAGTATGTCGGATCTGAGTGTTGAAAAACATGGACTTCATTTCTTGGGTGGACAATTGGGAGAAGGGAAAGACCAAATGATTCAGAGCAAAAGAGAAGGTTACGGCCTTTGCCTCTTATTCTTTTGAGTGTATAGGTATCAAAAATCCAGGGTGCTCACTCCGACCATTTGATGTGCCCTCCTTCTGATTCTCTGCTAGCTCATGAAGTGAGTCAAGTGTTATCAATTCTACCAGGAACTGTCCAAACTCAGCACAAGATAATTAAATAAAATTACATCATACTTACTTTTGTTCTCATATACCTGTTTATTGCAGCAGGAAAAGAGAACCAAAGCATTTTACAAATTTCAGGGCTGCAACCGTTGTAGATGTTCTTTCCAGACATTCCTGTGCCATTTTCTCCACAGAAAATAACCTGGATACAGCCAAGAGGTAATATTCCAGATAAGTAGAAACAGGGATCAGATGCTATCTGAAATCGCTTTAGAATTTTTTGAGAAAACGGGCATATTGCAACGACTGTTTAAATGTTGTTTAAACTCCCCAAATGAATTCCTACAAGGCAGCCATGCCCCTGGAGACTGAGTAATTAAAATATCCTGTTAAGCATCAAGACCTTAGGGCAAATGAGATTCAACAGCGGATGAGGGGGCATACATGAAGGACTGAAGGATCTACAGGTGACTGAGGCCATACCTGGCTACAGGGAAACACACAGCTCCCCAAACAGGAAACAGGCCCACCAGGAGTCCAACTTGGACTTCTGACTCCTAAAGCCTTTGGATGCGCAGAGGCTAATTTCTGAATTCAGATGCCAGGATGGAAATGTGTTTCTCACTAAAAGGACAAGAGCATGAGCTATGTAGGCTGGTAGCCTGGCTCACCTTTTTCTGATTTCCCTTCTCATTGGGCCTTGAGGAAGCCATGCAGCAAAGAGGAACTGACAATCTTCACAGTGACTAAAGAGAACAGTAATGGGTCTGAGCTGGAGGGATTTCTGGTATTAAGTCTAGTGCTACCCTTCCAGAAAGAAGCACTTCAGACACCTCCAATATTTTAATGTGAATTATAAAGATGCTTTTGATTCCTCAGAGTTTTTGAAATGCTGATATGTAATGGGGTGAGGAGTGGCTAGCAGTCCAGGAGGAGATTCCCCAGGCAACCATTGGGAATTCTTCCTCCAAATGGCATGTAACAGCCCATCCTTGGTATTCTATTATTGTTTGAAGGAATATGCAGTTGAGAATATGTGTGGGTTAGAGAAAACTAGAACTGGGGGCCCTGGCTCATTCACAGGGAAGTGGGTGCTGCAGCCAGCAGTGTGCATTGTCCTCTGACACAATTCTCGAGGGACCTGAGACCACAGATCTACAAATATCATAATATGAGTGCTCACCACTCCGGTTGACAGGTAGGGTGTGTGTTTATGGTGCGGGGCGGGGGCACAAAAGGAAGTGGTGCACTGCAGTCTACTCTTGAGGAAGAAGAAAAACAATGGGGGCAGGGTTGGAGGAAGAGATATATCAAGACCCTTAAAGAGAAAAACATACTCTCTTTGTATCACTCTACTGAGCCAACCCATTTCTTATTTGGGGAACATTTTGTATATCATCATTAAAAAAACTGTAAAGTGATTGTTGAGCACCAAGTTATTTAAAAATCCTGTACTAAACCCAGTGATTATTCTTCTTGCGCTCCAGAATTATCGAAATATTGTTGCCTAAAAGAAAAGGGAAAAAGTGCGTTTTCCTGTATGTTTCTGTTTTTGTTTTTTTTTTCCCATATGCCAATGTGATTTCAACTTTGAGGTTCTCCCTTGTCACATTTCCCACCTGGCGGCTGCTTACAGGTGAGCATAAGAAGCAGGAGCAAGGGTAAATGCCAGAGGCTGCAAAAGAACAGTTTCCTGGAACTCTTCCGGTCCGCATCTGTGTAGAACCGGAAGCCGAGGTAGGAGATATACAAGTTGATGGGGAGTGAGATGGCAGGGAAGGTCCATGTGGTGACATCGAGGACTGGGGCTGCCGTGGACAGTCCAATCAGGGCCAGACAATGGCGCAGGGCGACGCGCCGGCATAGGGCTGGGTGAGTGACCGACATCATGCAGTAGCCTCCTCGGGAGTAGTCCTCGCGGAGGCCCCAGCTCAGGGCATTGAAATGAGGAAACTGCCAGGAGTAGAGGATTCCTCCCAAAAGAAATGCTCCTGTGTGGAGGTTTAGGAGGAAAGAGAGAAGCAAAGAGACGTTGTCATCAGAGATGTCAAAAGGCATCGTTTCTCCCATCTGAAAGGCTTCCCTCCAGATTTCACCCGGATCTCAGATTTTCTGCCAGTTTTGTTCTCATCTCTCCTTGCTCAAGTCAGCCTGGCATCTGAGACAGGCAGGGTGGAGAGCCTGAACGTTCTCTAAGAGTAAGCCCTCACCCTAGCTTTCTCACCTCAGTGGGGGAAGGCTCCTGGCATCGAGGCGAGCTGGGCCCTCCTGAGGAGGGCTGCCCCACTGTAGCATGCTAAGCATCTGTGGCTCCCACCCACCCAATGTCCCCTTGTGTCTCAACGTTGTGACAACAAAAGAAGCCCCTACATACTTGTGAACATGTTTGGGGTGGGGCGATCCCAGTGGGACCTCTGTACTAGGGCTTGTCCACATCTGGGTCTTGCAAGTGAGGTGCTTCGGCAGGTGGAAGGGTACACCGAGCCCACTTGGCCTCCTTGACAAGGTCCCTCCCCTTGGCATCTTCTTGCTCAGCAATGACAAGAGGGGATGTAGCTTCAGGTCCACATGGGACACCCAGCCTTTGTCTGTGTCCTGATCTACTATTTCACCAGTGGACTGCTGGAGCTTCCCAGGGCGGGTACTTGGTAGACTGCCCTCCGATTCCCCAGAGCCACATGACGTGGCAAGCAGAAAGTACTAAAACAGCATGCGTTAAATGAAGAAGCTGGCATAAAGGAACCTCATCCCAGAGTAGAGTGACAACTTGTCTCTGGTTTTGTAGTTTTTTAATGAGGACGTATTAGGGCCTTGGGTGCCATTTAGCCCCTTTTTTGGGAACAGGGCCTCCCCCACCCACACGGGTAGAATGATGGCTGAGTATCTATTATGTGACAGAGACTTTATAGTTTACCTCATTTAATCTTGACTTTAGGGTTTTAGGTAAGTTTTGTACTCATTAAACAGACAAACAGATCAGATGATAAGTTCTCCAAAAAGAGGTGAAGGAGGAATTTGAAACATGCCTGTCTGTTTTTAAAACCAGGCTTTGCTATTACACTAAGCCACTGCCTTACACATCAGGCAGCAGGGCCAGGTCTAGACGGCAGGGGCTACAGTCATTCTTGAGCAGGAGATTCATCACTTACTTACTCATGAAAAAAACCTTATTAGATTCACGGAGCACCTACTAAGTATGCTTGGTGCTGGGGATACAATGGTGTGACAAAGCCACACGTGTCCCTGCAGGCACTGAGTTCACGCTTGTGTCATACCCAAGAGCCACTCAAGTGCTGTTCAGGAAGTGTATGTGCAACAAGGAGGGGTGATCTAGTTGAGGGGAGTGGGGAAGACTTCTCTGAGGAAGGGACATCTGAGCTGAGCTCCGAGGGAGAAGTGACCTGTTCCAGAGAAAGATCTGCAAAGGCCTTGGGGTGGGAAGATATGCGGTGTGGTCAAGTATTAAAAGATTAGTACATGTGGTAGGATTCATAGAGCTGTATGGTGAAAGAAAGGCTAGTTTTACTGTATGATAATTAAAAAAAGTAAAATTAAAAAGTAAGGCTAGTATGGCCGGAGTGCAGAGAACAATTGAGAACACCATTCAGGATAAGGCTGGTGGGATGATGCAGAGGGCTACGTCACCCGACTCTGTGGGCCATGCTAAGGACTGGTTCTATCCTAAAGGCAACAGAACACCATGGAAGGATCTTAACGTGTAAGAGGGTGTGAATGTGTGTGCATGGGTAGGGGAGTGCTGAGGAAAGGGGCATTTGTGAAAGAACATATTGGAAGGGCCCAAAGCAGGTATGGAAGGATCAATTAGAAAATGAGATGAAAGTAGTGACAACAGAAATAGAAAGAGGATGTTTGGTGACACAGGCATCTATAAACCTGAATTAGGGTGAGATCTTCCCCCCAGCATAGCTGGTCACCACAGAAGGGTAGGTAACAGATGGTAGGGAACAAGTGACAGGTAGGGTGGCCACCCCAGCCTGAGGGTGGGGACACTGATGACAGGCACAGGTGAGTGTGTTCATGGTAGAGACATGAAGGGTTTTATTTTTGGCCATGTGAAGTACCTATGAGACATCCCAGCTAAATGCCTTGTGGCTGTCACGCCCCAGGCACTGTGTAGAAGAATTTTACATATGCTCTCTGACCTCACAGAAACCCCTCCTACAGGTGTTTTTACTCTCATCTTAATCTTAAGATAAGATTAATTAACTTGCCCAAGGGTATTCAGAACTAGCTGCACAGTAAACCAGCCTTGCTTTTAGAAAATTATTGCCATATATCAGACTCAAATTAGTAACAAGGGCCTGTTGGGTGGTAATTCAAATGCCAATAGGGATGTTTGTTGGAAGGAGAAACTGCAGAGGCATTTTACAGTTTATTAAGATAAGAGTCCTGGTATCTTAAAAAAAAAGGTTTGTTTCAATTATAGGCATACCTCATTTTATTGTGCTTCACAGATACTGCCTTTTTTACTTATTGAAGGCAACCCTGTATCGAGCATGTCTAACAGTATCATTTTTCCAACAGGCTCAATGGTGTTTAGCATTTCTTAGCTATAAAGTTTTCTTAAATTAAGGCAGGTACTTTGTTTATTTTTATTTATTTATTTATTTTTTAGACATAATGCAATACATTTACTAGACTACAGTATAGTATAAAAATAACTTTTACATGCCCTTGGAAACCAAAAATCTGTGTGACTTTATTGTGATATTTGCCTTATTGCGGTAGCCTGGAATCGAACGTGCAATATCTCCTGAGATATGCCTGTACAAATAGACAATATTTTCTTTGACAGTGAGTACTCTTGAGGAATTAGAAGGCACAGAAGGGCAGGTTGGACCATCCAGGTACAATTGAGTAGAAAACAGGGTGAGAAGGAAACTTCTCTTTGTATTTTGGTGGAAAATAGAATGATATATGCATTTTAAAGAGACCAGCAAAAGAGAAAATGCTGTTAAAGATTCTCAGAGCATCAGGTCACTTTGAGGCTTTGGAGCATGATATACATCAGCAGTCTCCAATCTTTCTGGCACCAGGGACCAGCGCTCCTATGAGAATCTAATGCCTGATGGTCTTAGGTGGAGCTGAGGCCGGAATGCTAGTGATGGGGAGCAGCTGCAAACACAAATGAAGCTTTCTTCTCTCTCTCATCTGCTGCTCACCTCCTGCTGTGCGGCCTGGTCCTAACAGGCCATGGTCTGGTACTGGTCCATGGCCCAAGAGTTGGGGACCCCTGATGTACATGAAACAGCCCACCCTAACTCATGTGCGGTCTCACATCCAAAGAGTTTGAACGGATTATGGTTTGCAATTATAACAGCCACAAGCATAGGGGGAAACTGACAAGACCAAGATGTGTCCAGTCAAGAAAAGCAACATCACTGATAACTTTGAAATGGGGGAGAGAATAGGATAAGTCAGAGCTCAGTATCTGTTTTGTTATCAAAATGGCTGAGAAAGAGCAAACTTGGCTGGGAAATCAGACTTGAAATGGTTAAAATATCAGGCCCAGTGAATCTTTCTTGTCTTTCTCAAAAGCTCTCTTTTTAGTGTGCCAACTGGAGTAGTCTATTTTGTTCAATACACATTTTCAGTATGCTTCTGCTTAAAATAACAATTTAAAAAATCATTTTCATAAGCGTAGGGTGCTGCTTTCTATGTGAGAGGAAATTGGGTATGGGTTTGGCTCATGTCACAAATGAAAGAGCTTTAGAAATCACAGCTTAGCCTTAATGGATTGTAATCAGAAAACCACCACCCCCACATAGTTCTACTTGATGGGCTGCAACTGCCTCTGCTCATATAAAAGATGTAAAACAAATTACTTTCTTCATCAAGATAAGGTGAACTAGAACAGGAAGACTTGAATTAGTCCGGGGGCTGTGGTGAAATCCACCTTCCTTGTGCGGTAAACATAAAACACTCAGTTTGCTAATTCAAAGGCTTCACCTCAGCCTCACTCTCCCTTTATTTTTATTGGGCCTATCTTCGTTAACAATGAATATTGTTAACGAAGTTTATTTTTATTGGGCCTATCTTCGTTAACAATGAATATTGATTGTGCATCTACTACATGGTAGGTGCAGTCTGTTTTCAAGGCCCTCTGCTAGAGTCTGGCCAGGGAGACAGACAACACAAACGGGATTACAATCCATGAATGTTATCTCACGCGTAGGGATTGTGGGGAGCACATAGGAGAAAGACTGAAGTCAGCCTTGGAGAGGTCAGGGAAGGCTTCCTGGAAGAAGTGATTTATAAACTGAGATCTGAAGATGGTCTCTGAGTTTCAATCCATTCATATAAACTATACATTTTCTGGTTCTATTAAATGTATGTCTCATTTTCCTACCTAACTCTGTAGAATCTTTGTACATATTTGGTTTAATCACATCTGGAAGAAATGCTTCCTTTATTTTAATCAAATATTTGTTGTTCTATAAATATATAAAATACTGGAAATCTGTGAAATAGGTGGCATATTTGTGTGTATGGTTCTCCAGAGGACAGCAACTTCCTGAGACCACAATGCCACAATTCTAGCTCAAAGGCAATTCCAGACTACCCAGGTGTCCCGGGTGGTATTTGTTTCCTTCCATAACCAGAAAATGTTGAAGGGCACATCTAATATGCTATGTGCGTTAACAGCTGGAGAGAACCCTTATTTCACGGTACCCTGTTCTGATGAGGGGGGCCTATTAGGTAGGGTGAGGCTAACCAATGTGTTCCTAGTGACTCTTTGAAAATACAAGTATTTTTAAACTCTCTCAAGACATCTATCAACCATTTCTACATCGTACAAATTGAGGGAGAATCTAACTCATTGCCACCTCTGCTCAAATCTAGAAATGCTATCCACAGCAAACTTCCATCATTTTGTTGGTACATAAAGCCAAGGCAATTCTAGCCAAATGGTTTCCCAAAAGAACGGAGACAAAAACTTTTGAGCTGGAACTCCAACTCTGTATGTGCT